TCACACGATGTAGCACTAGTGGTATTGTGCAAACATATAAAGATTTATAAAAATAATTTTACAGCATATAATAGCTGTATTTACAGTAAATTGCAGGCCTATATAAAATATTATAAATATATTAAATAACATCAAGGTACTGTAAGCGATATTGATAAGGGTAGATGAAAGAAAAAGTTTTATATATTTTTATATACTATTACAGTGCAGTATTAGATTTAACTTTACACGAATTTAATAGATGTGAAAGACTCAAAAAAGAAATTCCAAAACATAAGGTGGATAACCCTGCACTGTATGGACCATTCATAATTATCAACAAATGTATAAACAGTATGCTAAGGGGGTAAAGGGTCTGGTACTAAATACAAAATTAAATGAAAGGAATTTACAAAAGCTTAAAATGTTGATTGAAATCGGTTTTCTAAATTTAATAACATGTCAATATGGATTATTTTAACCTAATTATGTATCTGTGTACCCATTGAAAAAAAGGCCATAGAGAACAGTATTGCAATATCAACATTTTCCATGAATGTACACTTTTTAAAGGGGTTGAGGTGGCAAAAAAGAGTACACTTTTAATACATTATGTTTACAATTGTGATTGGCCCCTATGTAAGTTTAAACTTTAAAGAAAAAATATACTCAGGTACTAAACAGAGAGCTACAAAATAAAATACAGTACTGAAATAATTGCTATTCATATAAATAAGAAAATATTGATTTTATGTATATATACAATAATATGACAAGACAAAAATATTTAAACGAATGTTATGTTTTAAGAAAATATGACAAGGGTAGATATAATTATTGATGTGGAAGTAGCATTTCTATTTAATATAGCCAAGCTCTGAAGGACATAAATCTGTTGATATGTTGTAGAACTAATCTTTCTAAGCATCAAAGTATATTTGACAAAAAACTTGAAAGCAGTTAATGAGAGAGATACAGATTTTTGAATATTTAAAAACTGGGGGAAAAGGGTGGTTATGTCTCTTTTCCCCCAGTTTTTAAATATTAAAAAATCTGAATCTCATTAACCGCTTCAAAGTTTTTCATTAAATATTCTTTTTGGGTTTAAAAAAAAATCAGTTCTACAACATAAAAAAAAAAACCAACTTTTCTGAGCCTAACTTTAAGACGGCCTACACACTGAAACATCAAATATAATAAAATACTACCACAAATCTAATATCACTAGAACGAAGTTTGGAATTAAAGTTAAATAACAAAATTTAAAAACAAAAATGCATACATGGTATTCCCAATTTTTAGGCTTGTTCATTTTCTTTATTCTGTTTGACAGAGACTGCCTCAAAAGAGTGGTTGATGCCTCAAGATACTTCTTATCAGTGAAATCTGGGGGTAAAAAAAAAATGCAAAAAATTTGAATACTCTTATAGGCTTCTAAATCGAAAACTCATAAACGGGCAACCACCAAGAGCAGGATGAATTTTAATAATTTCGGTGCAATGTCTAAAATTAGTTATGGTAATCTCTAAAGAATAAAATGCAGATACCTTAAAAGTAGTGGTCCAATAAAAGTATTATTTCATATTTGTTATCTTGTACAAAATCTAAATATAATTTTAATATAAGTATTCCACTTATAAAGACGGGCTCCCTTTTGATGGTTATTAATTGGTTACAAAGTGACAATGCAAACTTTCAGATTAAAATTTAAAGAAAAAAAAGTCTAACCCAAATAAAAAAGCTTTACATGTTGATGTACCATTTATCTTTTGAAATATAAATCCCTTATTACAGTACATAAGCCTGCAGTATCTTCATTTAAAAGGTAAAACACAAACTTATTTAACAAATTACCTACCTGTTATGGCAGTAATTCAGATGGGATCCAAACGCTCTTTCTCTACCGATGTTCCACATGTGCGTTGCTTTTCTTCCCTATCATGGATCCTTTTCTATAAGTAAACCATGGCCAATGTCAATCTATTGGAAGATAGATAATTATTTACTATTTATTAGTAAACTTTCCTCCCACATTTGCGCATGCTAGTATTTGACTGTCAATGGACATCCATGGAAAATATTCACACCCCAGTTAATTATACATTTTTGGTCAACAAAAATATAATTATGCTTGAAATATTTCAAACTTTAATTATAGCATAATTGAAAACTTCCTATGTGTAGAATATGAGTATATTAAAAAGTGTGGGTGTCGTATTTAAAATACCAATTATTATATATTATTGACAGTTAACAAGCATTCATTTTGAAAAAGAGTGAAGTACTGTATATTGAACTGTGCAAAAAACAAGTCTCAATATTTTTGATTGACACAAAATACAATAAATAAATGATATTTAAAGAAAAAATGCATTTTTTTTTTCAAATTTCCTGCCTTGGGCAGGACTTAGGCCTAGCCTAGGGCTTAGCTAGGCTAGGTACTGTAGGCCCTAGCTAGGTTAGGTTAAGGAAGAGGCCTAAGCCTAGGCTAGGCCTAGGTAGGCAAAAAAACCAACGATTTTTCTTTTGTGTCCCAACGCCCGTACCTGACCTGTTGCACTTTTTTACTCAATTCTTAGGTTTAGCCTATGCCTAGCCTAAACAGTACAGTATACAAACAGAAACACTGCCACTGACGAACTGACTGAACTAAACTTGATACTTAGCTACAAAATTATACCTAAGCTAGAATAAGTAACTAGGCGTATATATGTGGAAGGCGTATATTTATGGACGAAAGGAGATTATTTTTAGGAAACATAGACCAGTTATAATTCTTATTAAATGTATTTGTATGAAACCTTCTGTAATTAATCATTTGTTTTTTGTAGGACAGTATAAATTATATAGCATTTCATATTTCATACACTAAATAATTTACTAAATCGTACA